TTTCAACAATAAACAAACAGCAACACAGTTTACTTGTTTTAAAATAATATATTAAAACAAGTCAAATGTATATACAAATGTTTGTTACACTGTTGGTTATCACAGTTGTCAAAATCCACACAAGCTGGTGCAGTTACTTTAGAACACAATTGACAAAACGAATTATTCTTCTCTGCTCTGTTATTACAATTCAGCCTGTGACAATTTCATTTTATAAATCGCCACTATACACTCTTTATCGCTAAACACACAATCACATAATCTAGATCTAAATAATGATAACCAGACAGTAATCTTGACCACATTTTCATTAAGCTTTCCTCAAGATTTGATGCATATGTAAAGTAAGCAGAATCAATTTAGAAACTTATGCCATCAAACCTCACACAAGTGTTTTCTATCTCTGATATCAGACAGATTAAAGATTCTTACAGGGAATATCTGCCAAATCCTGATATTTTTTTATGAAGAACCTCATCGATAGAAGAGAAGATGGCTTTCTATACCTCTCCAGAATAGGCCCCAGATACTAGTTGACCTTAAAAGCGTGCTTCAGTGTACCAAATATCTTTATGTTATTGAAACTCTTTGCCACACTGCCACTAAGTTCAAGTTCATGTGAACGTTCGAAATCTGTTCTCCGCCAGTTGAATAATGACCTAAGGTGTACACAAACGGAAAGACTGAGTGTTTTAGCTTTAATACATAATCATCATGACACTGTTATAAACATTGAAACTGTATGTAAGTTATTTATGGAAGAGCACCCCAGAACAATGGAGCATGCTAACAAGTTATTTCAATAGTGCATACGTGTACGTATATGATAACCAATGATTGAAATAGCTAATATACTACTGTTGTACAGAGTTGTTTAAATTAATAATATAATTTAACAATTCATAATTACGCTGTATGTAGATACTACAGTACTTTAATATAATCAAACATACATATTTGTGTTAATTTAAACCTTAGCTCACCATGCAGTGTTAGAACAGAATAATGATTTGTTAGATTTTCATTGGATGTTTGTAAACAGTCATGCAATTGTTTAAGCTATATTTCACACAAAATTGAATCCAGATTTAATCGCATAGATCCCATTTTTTTTAAATATTCTGGGGATGCATGCCCCCAGACTCCCGTAGCATTATCATGCTTTGTATGCTGATTGTGCTTCGCTTGTCTTTTGATCTCACAAATTAGAACCCCCTCTTTCAAACATTCTGTGTTCGAGGCTGAGTTATAAATAATTCGTTATACTTGGTATTAATGAGAACACAAGAGGACTGCCGAAGTGAAAAATGGAAACAAAAGATTTGGTTATACAGAGGGTTGAGTACGTTATATTAAAACGATTTTGAATACGCATGTCAGCAAGTTACGTGACAACCACAGCAAATATGAAGTCGTGGTGGAATGGATGTCTAATAACTAGATTTTGACACTATTCGGCGTTTCATGGATGATGTTATAACATTGAAAACTGATCTCTTTTGGGAAAGGTATGTAACAACCCTTTCCGACACAAAATATTTGTGCACTCAGATCATGGAGATCTGTTCAGACTGGAGGTTTAGAATTTATAAGACGGGAATATCCCTTGTACGTTATATAATTCGAAAACAAATGAATATAGATTAACTTGTTGCGCCAGAACCATCCACAAAGAGACCTGTAACAGGTGGTACTCAAACAACAGTAAGCAAAGTGTGGCGTCTGAAAGTCCACAAACATAAAAGTCAGCGACAGAGACATCTCTAAGCACTGGCACACGAAGCCCGTGCCCCGATTCTAGTTGACAGTGCCCCAAATCCCCAGTTTGTGTCTTGAAAAATCAGAATAGAAAATCATGATCGATATCATACTGAAACGCCGAAAATTTCCGCACCTGTGAGCCCGAGCTCCGAATCTTTTAAGCGCCTAGCGGCAAAAAAACATCTACGTGTCCCAGGCAACTAAGTGCAACATAAATAAGAATCTCAGTTTGAAAACGAGGACAACAGCGTAAGGTTTCACTGATATAAAACTTCCATTTATACCTCCCATTCAACTGTTGCAATACTCAAGCAGCTGTAGAATGAAATGGGTCTTCTTGCTATTCCATACAACGAAATGCCAAACAAGTCGCCAGACGCAGCGCTTATGGATTTCTGCGCAATAGAAGTGTTTAAGCAGGTGCTGGGAAACCATCATCTTCAAAAACTAGATGGATTATAGAGAGCAGTAGAGAGGACTGATGCACTTTGGGCATGACAGCTTTATGACGGAGTCTTTTGTAATGTAAACTAAGCTGCAGAGCTATTGTCAAGGTGTCTGGTTGTGAATGAGAACATGACTGAAAGTACACATGGACTGTAACTACGTCGTGAGGCTTCAAAATCGTTTTAATATAAGGTATTCAACCTATGAATAAAAAGCGAATTAAGCCAGATTAATTAATTAGATAGTAAATGAAATTTTGAGTCTGTTACAGCGGGTTATTGACTTAACGTGTTTGTTTGTAATTTAGTTAGTTCAATGCTGTGAATCTTAAATTTATCTTTCCACGAAAAAGCGCCCCCAGTGGCTCAGTGGTAAGTCCAAGAGATTATCACGCTAATTATTGGGTTTCGATACCCGCGGTGGCTACAACACAGATAGTCCTTCTTTTATTGTGTAGCTCTGTGCTTATCAATAAAACAAACAAACAATTCATTGGTGAAAAAAAGATATGAAATATTTGTTTGGACGTACTTTATTTGAGCAGTTAGGCCTATCGGAAAGAAGAAGTAAAACATTAGCGTTATCATAAATGAACTAGGCCTTGCATTATTCTTTTTTTAATGAATAATCCTAAAGAATGACCCAACAATAAAAACCCTTATATATTGTTAGTTTTTACGCTAACAGCGTTAAATTATCAATGGAAATAAATATATTGTTATTTTTATTTGAGCGAAAAGCTACAGAATGGGCTATCTGCACTGTGCTCGCCACAGCAATGGAATCTCGAATTTTACCATTATAAACCCTCAAGCTTATCTATAGACCACCTGGGGGTGGGGGACAAAATTACAGTTCTTTATAAATACCTCTATCTTAGATTAATAATTTATTAGGACGTTTGATGTTGTTAGGCAAAGAGTTAGAAATCAATAATTTATTCTATATTTCCAACACCAGAACTTGTTAATCTTCTTACCAAGAAACAGTTTTTTTGTCTCCCCCTTACCAAGAAACAGTTTATTTTGTATCCCCCTTACCAAGAAACAGTTTATTTTGTATCCCCCTTACCAAGAAATAGTTTATTTTGTATCCCCTTACCAAGAAACAGTTTATTTTGTCTCCCTCTTGCCAAGAAATTGTTTATTTTGTATCCCCCTTACCAAGAAACAGTTTATTTTGTATCCCCCTTACCAAGAAACAGTTTATTTTGTATCCCCCTTACCAAGAAACAGTTTATTTTGTCTCCCCCTTACCAAGAAACAGTTTATTTTGTATCCCCTTCCACATTTATTTAAATTCCACATCTCAAGTCTTTCACCAAGTGAATACTCTGTTTGTAGCCCGTGTGTAATAATTGTGTTTATTGTGTACCTGAACTTGCCTTCCCACCAAGTGACTACTTTTTGTATTTCTCGTGTTTTTAAGCTATAAACCTGATATTATTTTCACCATTTTCTTCCATGTTGTTGTTTTCTTTGTTTTTACACCGAAACCTGATGATCTTCTCACTAAGTGATTATTTTGCTGTTTCTCTTAGACACCTAAAGCTAATGTTTTCTTAACCATGTGACTGTTTTACTGTTGATTCTAGATATTAAAAATTCGCATCGTTTTGATTAATGATTTTAGGTTTCTTAACCATGTTTTAATATCTAGAATCAACAGTAAAACAGTCACCTTCGCATCATTTCGATTAATG